TAGATCTAGACCAGGGGTGTCAAACTCATTTTTATCACGGGCTACTTTGGAGTTACAAGTTACATCTTCCTTTGGTGGGCCGTTACAACGGTGAAATTGAATTAAATGGTTATATTTTACCCTGCCATCCGCTTTCTCCAAATCTACAAAGACACAATGCAGTTCCGTCTGACCTTCTCTGAACTTCTCTGCCAACATCCTTAAAGCAAATACTGCATATGTCGTACTCTTTTTTTGGCATGAAACCATACTACTGCTCACAAATGCTCACTTCTGCTCTTAGCCCATTTAATCCCACCGGTCACATTTGTGAAGGACAACAATGATTTAATTTACAGGGCTCTAAACATTTTTATTACTGATTACTTAAAAGGAATACCAATGACACCTGATTTTGACTTTTAAATGTCTGCGAAAAATTTGGGATTAAATGGGTTAATCTAGCTTCAACTACTCTTTCCCATAGCTTTATTGTATGGTTCAACAACTTTATTCCTCTGTAGTTACTACAACTCTGCACATCTCCTTTGTTCTTAAAAATGGGCACCAGCACACTTCTCGTCCATTCCTCAGGCATCTTCTCACCATTTAAGATCTTGTTGAACAACCCAGTCGGAAACTCCACTGCCACCTCTCCTGGACACTTCCAGACCTCCATTGGTAAATCATCAGGCCCGAGTGCCTTTCCACTCTTCATCCTCTTCAGTGCCCTCCTCACTTCATCCTTGCTAATCTTTGCTACTTCCTGGTCTGCAACAGTCACCTCTTCTATTCTTTGTTCTTTCTCATTTTCCTCATTCATCAACTCTTCAAAGTACTCTTTCCATCTTCCCATCACACTACTGGTACCTGTCAATACATTTCCATCTCTATCCTTAATCACCGAACCTGCTGCACGTCCTTACCATCGCTGTCTCTGTCTTGCCAACCTGTATAGATCCGTCTCTCACTCCCTACTGTCCAGCCGAGCATACAAGTCATCGTAGGCATCTTGTTTAGCCTTCGCCACCTCTACTTTCACCGTGCGCTGCATCTCCCTGTACTCCTGTCTACTCTCTTTAGTCCTCTCAGTGTCCCACTTCTTCTTAGCTAACCTCTTTCTCTGCATACACACCTGCACCTCCTCATTCCACCACCAAGTCTCCTTATCTACTTTCCTTCCAGATGATACACCAAGCACTTTCCTACCTGTTTCCCTGATCACATTAGCTATAGTTGTCCAGTCATCTGGAAGCACCTCCTGACCACCCAGTGCTTGTCTCAACTCCTTCCTAAAGGTTATGTGACACTCTTCCCTTTTCAGCTTCCACCATTTTGTCATCTACTCTGCTTTTGCTCTCTTCATCTTCCTCACCACCAGAGTCATCCTTACACACCACGATCTTATGCTGTCTGGCTAGCCTCTCACCTACCACTACTTTGCAGTCACTGATTTCCTTCAGATTGCACCGTCTACACAAAATGTCGTCTACCTGTGCACTCCTGCCTCCACTCTTATAGGTCAGCCTATTTTCCTGCCTCTTCTGGTAGAAAGTCTTCACTATAGCCATTTATATCCTCTTACCAAAGTCCACCACCATCTGTCCTTCTGCGTTCCTTGTCTGGAGTCCAAACCTGCCCATCACCACTTCATCATCTCTGTTTCCTGCGCCAACAATCTTCGCTTCGAATTCCTCTGGAGTTATTCAGAAGTGACACCGAGGATGAAGACTGAAACGGATTTCGTGATTGGGAGTGAGTTTGCAAGTTATTAATTAAAGTAAAGGTTAACATGTTTTGTTCTTTATGCTATAGTTATATAAAAACTGTGTGTTATGTTCCACGATATAACACTGGACACCTTTTCTATTCATGTTTATTTTTCGTGTGGCTGAATACACTGCTCTCTAGTATTGTATTTATAACTCGCCTTCCTACATGAGATGTTTTTAGATGTTTGTGATCTAGTATTTTCTAAAATCAGAGATGAAAGTGGACTTTTCTGAAAATTCCGGAATAAATAAATAAATAAATAAGTGTGTGTGTGTGTGTGTGTGTGTGTGTGTGTGTGTGTCACCACACACCCACACACACACACACGCGCGCGCGCACTTGGCCGATCAAGCATGAATTAGTTTACACAAAACGCTATTCAAATACTCGACATTCAATGATTAATCTTCCTTTTGTGTGCACACGTGTACCCTTTATGGCTTCCGTTCGGGCCGAAATTTCGAAATCTCCAAGAAATGGCGAGGCCATGAGAATGCGAGGCGAGGGTATTACTGTTGTGGCGAATCCACTCAAGCTAAGCGAGCCTCAGCAGTCGATAGTCTACTG